TAAATGTGTTTTTTCACGAGGAAGAGATCTAGAACAAAAACATACTGAATGGTCTACTGGTTTAGAAGTAATTAGCCAAAAACCACGACGACTTTGAAAATGACGAGTTTTTTGGTCGAATAAATTGCTTAAAGTTTGTGTACCTCCTGTAACTCTATTTTTGCGTATTTTTGGAAAGCAATTATATCGAACTATTTTCTCAGAAGAAAGAAATCTAGATCAAAAACAAGCTGATTGGTCGACTAGTTTAGACGTTATAAGCCAAACACGATGACGACTTTGAAAATGACGAATTTTTTAGTCAAACAAATTGCTCAAATTTTGTGTACCTCTTGTAACTCTATTTTTCCGAATTTGTGGACGACTTGTTGGTCCTATATCGAACTATTTTTCCATATTGCAGAGATCTAGACCAAAAACGGTATGATTGGTCGACTAGTTCAAAAGTTATGATCCAAAAACTACTACGACATTGGAAATAACGAGTTTTTTGGTGGAAAAAATTGCTCAAATTTTGTGTACTGCTTGTAACTCTATTCTCGCGTATTTTTAGGCGATTTGTTGCTTGGATATAAATGTGTTTTTTCACGAGGAAGAGATCTAGAACAAAAACATACTGAATGGTCTACTGGTTTAGAAGTAATTAGCCAAAAACCACGACGACTTTGAAAATAACAAGTCTTATTGTCGAAAAAATTGCTATAATTTTGGTACCTCTTGTAACTCTATTCTTGCGTATTTCTGGGTGATTTGTTGGTCCAATCTCGATATGTTTGTTCCTAAAAAAGAGATCTAGACCAAAAACGGGCTAATTGATTGACTGGTTCAAAAGTTACGAGCCAAAAACCACGACGACTTTGAAAATGACGAGTTTTTTAGTCGAAAAAATTGCTCAAATTTTGTGTACCTCTTGTAACTCTATTTTTCCGAATTTGTGGACGACTTGTTGGTCCTATATCGAAGTACTTTTTCATAAGGAAAAGATCTAGGCCTTAAACAAGCCGATTAGTAGACTTGTTCAAAAGTTATAAGCCGAAAACCACGTCGACGTTGAAAATGACGAGTTTTTTGGTCGAATAAATTGCTTAAAGTTTGTGTACCTCCTGTAACTCTATTTTTGCGTATTTTTGGAAAGCAATTATATCGAACTATTTTCTCAGAAGAAAGAAATCTAGATCAAAAACAAGCTGATTGGTCGACTAGTTTAGACGTTATAAGCCAAACACGATGACGACTTTGAAAATGACGAATTTTTTAGTCAAACAAATTGCTCAAATTTTGTGTACCTCTTGTAACTCTATTTTTGCGAATTTTTAGACGACTTGTTGGTCCTATATCGATGTATTTTTCCGTAAGAAAGAGATCTAGACCCTAAACAAGCTGATTGGTCAACTGGGTCAAAAGTTACGAGCCAAAAATCCCGACGACTTTGAAAATGACGAGTTCATTAGTCGAAAAAATTTCTTAAATTTTGTGTACCTCTTGTAACTCTATTTTTGCAAATGCTTGGACCACTTGTTGGTACTATATCGATGTATTTCTCCATAAGGAAGAGATCTAGACCTTAAACAAGCCGATTGGTAGTCTTGTTCAAAAGTCATATGCCGAAAACCACGACGACTTTGAAAATGACGAGTTTTTTGGTCGAATAAATTGCTCAAATTTTTTGTACCTCCTGTCACTCTATTTTTGCGTATTTTTGAACGACTTGTTGGTCCTATATCGAACTATTCTTTCACAATAAAGAGATCTAGATCAAAATCAAGCTGATTGGTCGACTGGTTTCGAAGTTATAATCCAAAATCCACGACGACTTTGAAAATGACGAATTTTCTAGTCAAACAAATTGCTCAAATTTTGTGTACTTCTTATAATTCTATTCTCGCGTATTTTAAGACGACTTATTGGTCCTATATCGATGTGTTTTTTTATAAGGAAGAGATCTAGACCAAAGACGGGCTGATTGGTGGACTGGTTCAAAAGTTATGAGCCATAAACCACGACGACTTTGGAAATAACGAGTTTTTTAGTCGAAAAAATTGCTCAAATTTTGTGTACCTCTTGTAACTTTATCCTTTCGTATTTTTGGACGACTTGTTGGTCCTATAAAAATGTGTTTCTTCATGAGAAAGAGATCTAGACCAAAAACACGCTGATTGGTCTACTGGTTTGGAAGTTATGAGCTAAAAACACGACGACTTTGAAAATAATAAGTTTTTTTGTCGAAAAAATTGCTATAATTTTGGTACCTCTAGTAACTCTATTCTTGCGTATTTCTGGGTGATTTGTTAGTCCTATCTCGATGTGTTTTTTTCTGAAAAAGAGATCTAAAACAAATACGGGCTGATTGATTGAATGGTTCAAAAGTTACGAACCAAAAACCACAAGAACTTTGGAAATGACGAATTTATCAGTCAAAAAAATTGCTCAAATTTTTGTACCTCTTGTAACTCTATTTTTGCGTATTATTAGACGACTTATTGGTCCTATGTCGAAGTATTTTTCCATAAGGAAGAGATCTAGACCTAAAACAAGCCAATTGGTAGACTGGTTCAAAAGTTACGAGCCAAAAACCACGACGACTTTGAAAATGACGAGTTTTTCAGTCAAACAAATTGCTCAAATTTTGTGTACGTCTTGTAACTCTATTTTTGCGAATTATTGGACTACTTGTTGGTCCTATATCGATGTATTTTTCCGTAAGAAAGAGATCTAGACCCTAAACAAGCTGATTGGTCAACTGGTTCATAAGTTATGAGCCAAAAACCTCGACGACTTTGGAAATAACGAGTTTTTTAGTCGAAAAAATTGCTCAAACTTAGTAACGGGGTGGTTAACCCTGTTCAATTGGTTACCCCTTTCCTTATGAAAAGGGCGCCACTGGGATTATTTTCGCGGTGTCCCAGAAACCGGAAGAGCACGAGCAAGAAAGTCGGGTCGTGAGAAGTTGAGATAGGCTGAAAATAAATTCTGAGGACAATTTTCTCTCGTTAATCAATTTTATTGAACAATAAATAAATCTTAAAGTATTACAA